AATTATTTAACTACTTTCTCTGCAGTGGATTCCCCTGGGTGAGCATTCAGATGCCGCACAAACACCTGTACAGTCTGTGCCCGTTTTCAAAGGCTCATCCACAGAACTCTTCCCAGACATTCTTGACATCCATCTCTCAATCTGTTCCTTCCAAGTTCCTGACCATCCTGCTAACTCGTTAGCAGCTGCCCATAAATTAATATCGATATGTAATTCTGGCCATCCCTCATCCAGAAAAAATAGACAACCAAATATACTGCTTCTATTCAGTGAGAGGATTTTCCTTCATGATTGTCCTTCAGGGTCACTTCTGAGTGTGGCTCTGAGACTGCAGGTAACTACCAGCTGGTGAGGAAGCCATCTGTGAATCAGGCTTGAGGTTTTTTCCCTCAGTCACCTGGTCATAAAGAACTTCTCGGGTTGGGTTGTCAGGGCTTCAACTTTAGTAGGCATGGTTCAATTTTTCCCCTCATTAACCTTGACCTTGTTGAGTTGGTGCCTACCACGGTCCTCTATTTTAAATTTACCGTTCTTTTCTTTGTAATAAATTACTATTTTCTAGGTATTACAATTTCCTTTTTTCTAAAACTTATACTAACCAGACATGGTCACCAATGATGACTCCTCTCTTTTATTTTTATTTATTTATTTTTTTGAGGCAGGATCTCACTCTGTCATCCAAGCTGAAGTGCAGTGACACAATCCAAGCTCACTGCAGCCATAACCTCCCAGGCTTAGGTGATCTTCCCACCTCAGCCTCCCAAGTAGCTGGGACTACAGGTGTGTGCCACCACATCTGGCTAATTTTTGTATTTTTTATAGAGACCAGGTCTCGCCATGTTGGCCAGGCTGGTCTCCAACTCCTAAGCTCAAGTGACCCACCCACCTCAGACTCCCAAAGTGCTGGGGTTACAGGTGTGAGCCACTGCACCCAGCCTGATGACTCCTATCTTAATGTCACCTTTATGATGACTGCCACATGGTAATTCTCTGCTTTTTTTCTATTTTTTCCTACATTTATTAGAGCTTCCCATTCTCATTTATTTGTTCATTCATATCAGTATGGATTGATGGATTCCTATTTTATTCAATGGCTTATAATCTGATGCTTTCATTATTGATTTTGATGCTTAAATTGTCTTAAATATGTCCAGTGGGTGTTTCTTCAGTCTAGTTTCTTCATCATTTTTACATTTTCCCATCATCTTTTGAGCATTTCTTCACTTTATGGCAAACAAAATGTTTCAGGCTCTTTTTATACATTTGCTTTTATATAATTTTATATACTTTTATTCCAGTCTTGGAATGAACCATTTTTTCAAGGAGACTTCATTTCTTTTAGTGGAGGATGGTTTTTAGAAACCAACATCTGGGGCCAGGTGTGGTACATCACACCTGTAATCCCAGCACTTTGGGAGGTTGAGGCAGGTGGATCACTGAGGCCAGGAGTTTGAGACCAGCCTGGCCAACATGGGGAGACCTCATCTCTACTAAAAATACAAAATTAGTCAGGTGTGATGGTCCACGCCTGTAATCCCAGCTACTTCGGAGACTGAGGCGCGAGAATCACTTGAACATAGGAGGCAGAGATTGCAATGAGCTGAGATCACGCCACTGTACTCCAGCCTGGGTGATAAAGCAAGATGCTGTCTCAAAAAATATATTGAAAAGAAAAAGGAGAAGAAAAGAAACCAACATCTGAGTGTTAGATGTGCTTATCACTACTGGGGTGCCATTCTTCTAGGCCCTCTCATTGGACAGAACTAGAAACAGATATGTATAAATATATGCACATACATATATGTTCACATATATATGTGCACACATATTTGCACCTGCAACTATTTATGTATCTATGTATCTATACTTGTAAAAGCATGCACTCATACCAATTCTTCCCATTCCATTCCCTTGTCTCAGAGAACTTTCTAGTCTACTCTTTCCCTATGTTTGTAAATATCTTTCCTAGAACTGAAAAACTTGACTTCTGTCATTTTGAGAACATTTACTTACTCATTCAATGTATCTAGTCTCCCACTATTGTAGTCCTCTTCTCTGTGTGCCACCTCTGTGCTGCTTCCCCTGTTCCCCCAACTGACTCACATTCTTAGCCACCAGGCTTGCTGTTCTTCTATGCATGACTCCCAATTTTTTTTATGGACCCATGTCCTTGACCTCCATGTTGATTCCTTCACCCTGAGAAGGGAAGAGAATGGAAGGCTAAAGAAGGTAGAAAAGAAAGTGGTTACATATAGTTTTGATAGGTACAACTGTGGGGAGACTTAATCCTAGGCTGAGGGTATTGTTAAGGTACAGATGTATTTGGGGGAACATTTAACTAGCAGATATGTGACACATGAGTAAATTACATGGGGTGTATGTAATGAGAAATGGTGCTCATCACTACCTCAGAATATATAGCATATTTTTATTTGTTTACTGTAATTAGTGTATGGAAAGTTAAAAATTTTGTGGGATTAACTGAAGATCTTTATTTTGATATTTATTTTATTTATTTATTTTACTTCAAGGAGTTTCCACATTAAATGGCCTTTCTTAGTTGATATTGCTCTGCTTTAATAGTTTTTTCCAAATATGATGTAAAACCTATGACATTTCAAAACATCAGTGACAGCAGAAACAACCACCACTGCAGTACTAATAATGGGTAACATTTCTTGAGGGCTTACTGTTGTATCAAGGATCATTCAAAATACTTCTAAGTATTAACACACTAAATTCTCACAGTAAGTCTATGAAGTGGGGACTATTATTTTCCATAAGAGGAAACTAAGGCACAGAAAGGTTTAGTAATTTATCTAATGCCATGTAGCTAGAGTACCAGTCAGGATGCTTTCAGCTACAGTTGACAGAAACTGCCAACAATTGGTGCATTTACTCTGTGACATTACAGGAAGACTGGAGGTATGACAGGTTTCAGAGCTAATTGAGTCAATGGCCAAGCAAAGTCATCAGTCAAATTTATTTCCATCTTTTTTTTTTTTTTTTGAGACAGAATCTTGCTCTGTCACCCAGGCTGGAGTGCAGTGGTGCGATCTCGGCTCACTGCAGCGTCTGCCCCCACAGGTTCAAGCGATTCTTGTCCCTCAGACTCCCAAGTAGCTGGGATTACAGGCACGTGCTACCACACCCGGCTAATTTTTTATTTTTAGTCGAGGTGGGGTTTTGCCATATTGGCGAGCCTGATCTCAAACTTCTGATCTCAAGTGCTTCTCCCACCTCGGCCTCCCGAAGTGCTGGGATTATAGGCATGAGTCATCGTGCCCAACCTATTTCCATCTTTTTTGAAAGCTCATCATCTATGCCCTGGCTCGCTCCCCTTGTGGTCACCGAGTGACTGTGCCAGTTCTTGGCATTACTTCCACCCTTGGCAATATCCAGAGTCAAAGAAGAAAACTATCCTCTGGTGCTCCCTTTGTAGGAGTCTAAAAAGCTTTCTTACTAGCTCCTAACAAATCTTTCCTAATGTCTCCCTCTTCAGACCTGGGTTCTACACCCATCCCTGGATATCCACTGCCAAGGAGGGTAGGATAACCGTGATGGGCGTAGCCCAGCTTGGAGTTACACTTGGCACTGGGAATATGGTCAACTTCATCTGAGTTCTGTAGGGAACAAATCTGAGGTTCAGCCAGCATACAGGAAGAGGGGAGTTGCCATGGGGTGCCCCGCATTGGGGTCTGCTCTTGTCAGCAGAAGAGGCAGGATAGAAGCACAGACATTCTGCCTTTGGCACCTATGCTGAGAAGTCTGATAATTCTACTTGGGCTTTTGTGGTTCTCTTCCTTAGCTGACATTTTAGAAACAGTTGTGGTAAGTTTGATCAAATTGACAGAGTGCATCCAGAAAATTGCCTTCTTAATGCTGTTTGAGATGCCTGTCCTTAGAAATCTGTAGAAAGAATTTACAAACACTTGCTCCTGGCCTATTCACATTTTTCAGGAATAATGTTTGAAAATCAAATATAGGAAGGCGGTGTGATCATCTTAAATAAGCAATTCTCAAACTTGTTGGTTTCAAGACCTCTCTGTAGTCTTAAAAAATTATTGGCACCCTCAAAGAGATGTAGTTTATGTTGGTCCTGTCTATTGATAGTTGCCAGATGAGAAATTTAAAAGAAGAAAATTAAAATATATTTAAATTGATTCATTTAAAATAAGGATAAACCAGGTATGTGTTAATATAAATACCAGGTTTTATTTATTTTATTTTTCTGAAACAGGTTCTCTTTCTGTTGCCCAGGCTGGAGTGTGGTGGTGCATTCATAGCTCACTGCAGCCTCAACCTCCTGGGCTCAAGCAATCCTCCTGCATCAGCCTCTCGAGTAGCTGGAAATAGCATATTCTAAAGAAAAACTAACTGTATTGTTCTAAAACAAGAACTTTCATGAGAAGAATATCACTGTTTCACATTTTTGCAAAGCTTTTCCATGCCTGGCTTAATGGAAGAGAGCTGCTTCTGTATAATCTGTAGCCTCTGGAAAACTCCACTGACCATTTGTGACATAATGATAGTAAAAAAGACAAATAAAATCTTAATACTATTATAAAATTAATTTGATCTCATAGATTTTCTAAAAGAGTATGCCAGAACCCCAGGGATCCTCAGCCCATACTTTGAGAACCACTATCTTAAAGGATGTCTGCTGAATAGGCCCATGCATAACCTAGGATGATTTCCAGCAGTAGCACAGGCAGTAACAGTATGGAAGATATTAAAAGTAGGTATATAAATTGATCATCTCAGAAAAGTGGAAATCAGTTGAGTATTCATAGAGCAATATGCCTCAGTCCAGGGAATTTGATAATCTCATTATCCTCATTAGCTCCAGATTACAAGAGCTAATTCAGAGGCTTCCTCACCTCACCAACCTCTTAGAATACTTAAAATATGATATGATTTACACAAAAAAATACACACTAACATCTATTTCTAAGAAAATATATATGACATAAAGCACATTTCATTTCCTTTGTTTTCAGACTTAACATTTCAGATGATTTAAAGATTGGCTTTTTCAGCACAGACCATGCCACTCAAACCGATTCCAGTGAAATACTGTCAGTAAAAGAATTGAGTTCATCCACGCAAAAGTTAGCACAGGTAAATCTGAATTTGTTTTGAAACTTCTGAGAAAATTTTTGGCGTTAATTGCCTTCATATTTCTTTCATAGACAAAAGTGAACTAAAATTTTTAAAATGTTAGCATCTTTGACAAACAGCTGAATGATAGTTGTGCTTCAACAAATTAATATAAGCTACTACTTATATTTACGTCATACTTACGTATGTTAATTCGTTTAGTAAAGTATTTTGTTACTCTGGTTGGAAATTCTTTTGACATCTGTGAACATTTTCTATTTTTGATACTTTAAAAAATTATCAAACATTTTTGCATATATAATGGATAACTGTGTAACCCACCATCTCAACTGTGCCAAATTTTGACATTCTGTTAAATTTTCTTTGAATTTTTTTTTTTTTTTTTTTTTTTTTTGAGACAGTGTCTTACTCTGTCACCTAGGCTGGAGTACAGAGGTGTGATCATAGCTCACTGTAGCCTCCACCTCCAGGATTCAGGTGATCCTCCCACTTCAGCCTCACAAGTAGCTGGGACTACAAGTGCGTGCCACCATGCCCACCTAATTTTTTGTATGTTTTGTAGAGATGGGATTTTTGCCATGTTTTTCAGGCTGGTATGGAACTACTGGGTTCAAGCAATCCACCCACCTCAGCCTCCCAAAATACTGAGATTACAGGCGTGAGCCATCGTGCCTGGCCTGGATCTTTTTCGATTGTAAAGGAACATAGTATTGCATGTACGTTGGAGATGAAGAGTTATTATTAAAAACCCTAATCAATAAAGCTGTCACATGAGGTAGCATAACACTATAAATACTCCTGTCTACCTTGATTTTGTTTTTACACTTGGAAGTCGTTCCATATTGACACATAGAGCTTCCTCATTTATTTCACAAGTACATCACAAAATGTGCATCATATATTTAGCTTTCCGTATTGATGGACATTTTGGTCATTTCTAATATTTTACTGTGATGAATAGTCCTGCACATACTCATATGCCAGTAAATCTGTGATGTAAATTCTTAAAAGTGGAATTTCTGAGTCAGAGGATGTATGCATTAGTCATTTTGAAGGATATTGCCAAAGTGCCCTGCATAGAGATTGTACCAATTTACACTCCTGCTACTAACTTTTGAGAATGTCTCTTTCCTACATATTTGCCAATTTATTGTCTTCTTTTATACTTTCAGAAACATTTTATTTTACTCTTTTGTAACTAAGTGTGTCCAAATGACCACGTTATGGTCAGTAGGATTCAGATGGAAATGGTCTGTGGCAGCTCTGGGGAACCTTCTTTGAGACACAGTTCACATACGCCCTCTGTCACTTCTCCCTTCACTCCTCTTTCCCTCCCCGCTCCTTCCCATTCCCCTTCTCTTCCTTCCCTTTCCCTTTTCGCTTCCCTTTCCCTTCACTTTCCCTTTTCCCTTCCCCTCCCCTTCCTCCCCCCCGGTTTCCCCTCCCCCCCCCCCAACCCCGTCCCCTCTCCATTCCGGTTCCCTTCCTTTACCTTCCCAGTTTCCGTCCGGGTTCCCATCCCGTTTCCCTTCCCTTCCGGTCCCGGTGCCCTGCCCTTCCGGGTTCCCGTCCCGGTTCCCCTCTTTTCTCTTCCCCGGTTCCCTTCTCCTCCCTTCCTGGTTCCCATCCCGCTTCCCTTCCCTTTCCGGTTCCAGTCCTGGTCCCCTTCCTGATTCCTGTCCTGGTTCCCTTCCCCTCCCTTCCCGGTTCCCACCCGGTTCCCTCCCCTTCCCGTCCAGGCTCCCGTCCCAGTCTCTCCTCCCCTCCACTTCCTTCCTGGTTTCCTTCCCCTTCCCGGTGCCCGTACTGGTTCCAGTCCCAGTTTCCTTCCCGGTCCCCTCCCCTCGCTTCCCGGTTTCCCTCTTCTTCTCTTCCCTCCCCTTCCGGTTTCCTGCCCCTTCTCTCACGTCCCGTTTCCTCCTTCCCTTCCCGGTTTTCCTCCTCTCCCATCCCGGTCTCTCTCACTCCCCAGTTCCCGCCCTGATTTCTTCGTTTCTCGGTTCCGTCTCCGGTTCCTCTCTTTCCTTCCTGGTTCCCTGCACGGTTTTCTTCCCTTCCTTTATTACCGTCCCAAAGTTCCTTTCTCTTTCTTCCCTTCCCGGTTCCTGTCTCTATTTCCTGTCCTGGTTCCCTTTCCAGTCCCATCCCAGTTCCCATCCCAGTCCCTTCCCTTCTTTTCCCAGTTCCCGTCCGGGTTCCCGTCGGTTCCCATCCCTTCCGGTTCTGTCCCTTTCCCTTCCCCGTACCATTTCCGGTTCCCCTCTCGTTTTCCGTCCCGGTTCCCTTACCTTCCCGATCCCCTCCGTTCCCGGTTCTCATCCAGGTTCCCGTCCGGGTTCCCTTTCAAGTCCCCTCCCCTACTCCCCTTACCCTTTGTGGCTTCTCACCTTTTCCCTCCCTCTCCTCTCCCCTCCCTTCCTCTCCCTTCTTGGTTTCCCTCCCTTCCCAGTTTCTCTTCCCTTCCCGTTTACCTTCCTTTCCCTGTTCCCGTCCCAGTTCCCGTTCAGATTCCCTTCCCTGTTCCAGTCCCGGTTCCGTTTCCGGTTCCTGTCTCGTTCTTTCCCTAACTGCTTCCTGTCCCGCTTCCCTTCTCTTCCTGGTTCCCTTTCCAGTTCCCTCCTGGTTCCCTTCCCTTCCTGGTTCCCTTGCCTTCCTGATTCCCTTCCCTTCCCAGTTCCCTTTCCAGTAAGTTTCCATCCCTTCCCTTCCTTATTCCCTTCCCAGTTCCCGTCCTGGTCCCCTCCCCTCCCTTCCCAGTTTCCCTCCCCTCCCTTCCCAGTTTCCCTCCCCTTCCCAGTTTCCCTCCCCTTCCCAGTTTCCCTGTCCTTCTCTTTCTTCCCAGTTTCCCTCCCCTTCTTCCAGTTTCCCTTCCCCTCCCTTTCTATTTTCCCTTCCCGGTTCGCTTTCCTTCCCAGTTCACTTATTTTCCCAGTTCCCGTCCCGGTTCCTGTTCCGGTTCCCTTTCCTTCCCTTGCCAGTTCTTGCCTCGGTTCCCATTCTGGTTCCCTTCCCTTCCCAGTTCCTGTCCGAGTTCCCTTCCCTTTTCTTCCCGGTGTGTCTGGAGTTGGTTCCTGCTGGTGGGTTCGTGGTCTTCCTGGCTTCAAGAATGAAGCCACAGACTTTTGCGGTGAGTGTTACAGCTCTTAAAGATGGCATGGACCCAAAGAGTGAGCAGTCGCAAAGTTTATTGTGAAGAGCAAAAGGACAAAGCTTCCATCCTGTGGAAGAGGGGGTGGGGGGGGGCATGGGCCACTGGCAGCTTTTATTCCCTTATTGTACCCTCCCATGTGTTCCATTTCTGTCCTATCAAAGTGCCCTTTTTTCAATCCTCCCGGTGATCGGCTACTTTTAGAATCCCGCTGATTTGTGTGTTTTACAGAGCGCTGTTTGGTGCGTTTTACAGAGTGCTGATTGGTACGTTTTACAATCCTCTTGTAAGACAGGAAAGCTCCCCAAGTCCCCACTGGATCTAGGAAGCCCAACTGGCCTCACCTGTCACCAGTTCCCATCCTGGTTCCCTTCTCGGTTCCCTTCCCTTTCCTTCCGGTTCCTGTCTTGGTTCCCTTCACTTCCTGTCCTGGTGCCGCTTCCAGTCCCCTCCCTTTTTCTCCCCTCCCCTCCTTTCCCTGTTTCTCTCCCCTCCCTTCTTTTCCCGGTTTCCCTCCCCTCCCCTTTCTTCCTGGTTTCCTTCCCCTTCCCTCCCTTCCTGGTTTCCCTCCCCTTCCCTTCCCAGTTTCCCCCCCCTTCCCTTCCTGGTTTTCCTTCCTTTTTTCCTGTTTTCCTTTTCTTTCTTCTTCTGCTAGAGCATGGATCCTACTGTTTGGACCATGAGGTTGAAACAGTATACAGCAGAGTAATAAAACAGAAGAATCTTAGATCATTTCACCCATTGATTGCTTAGGTAGATTTCTAGGGAGAGAAATTAACTTATTTCTCATTTATGCTTATGTTACTTAGATTTTATTTATTTATTTATTTATTTTTTAGACAGGGTCTCACTCTGTCACGTAGACCGGAGTACAGTGGCAGGATCATAGGTGACAACAGCCTTGACTTCCTGGGCTCAAGTGATCCTCCCACCTCAGCCTACTGAGTAGCTGGGACTACAGGTGTGTGCCACCACAGCTGGCTAATATTTTTCCTACTTTTTTGTAGAGACAGGGTCTCAATATGTTGCCCAAACTGGTCCTAAATCCCTGGCCTCAAGTGATCATCCTGCCTTGGCCTCCCAAAGTGTTGGGAATACAGGCATGAGCCACCAAACCTGGCTATTTGGATTTTTTGTTATAGCTGAACCAAAATTTGATACAAATGTTAGATTAAGGATGTCTTTTTCTATTTCTAATTAATAAAATACATTTTTAAAAATCATGTATGACTGGGTTTGAATACTTTTCATGGACTTATTGAGATGATCATGCAGTCATATGGCTTTTCTCCTTTATCTGATGATGTGGTAAAATTTGGTTTTTGAATAGTAAACCATCCTTTACCTCCTGAAATAAACCCAACTGGATCATTGGATCATAATATTTCTTTTTGCATTTCTACATTATTTGCTATTATTTTATTGAGGATTTATTTTCATCTGTTTGAAGTGAGATTGCCCTATAATTTTTTCTTTTTCTTTTCTCTCTCTCTCTCTTTTTTTTTTTTTTTTTTTTTTGGAGACAGGGTCTTGTTCTGTTGCCCAAGCTGGAGTGCAGTGACAATCATAACTCACTGTGACCTTGAACTCCTGGGATCAAGCAATCCTCCCACCTCAGCCTGCTGAGTAGCTGGGATTTCAGGAGTGCACCACCTTGCCCAACTAATTTTTAAATTTTTGGTAGAGATAGGGTCTTGCTATGTTACCCAGGCTATACCCTATAATACTCTTTTCTTATACTATTGTTTTTCAGTCTTGGTACCAAGGTCACAGTATCCTCATAAGATGAGAAGTGTTCCCTAGTCTATTCTCTGGAATACTTCACATAAGATTGGGAATATCTATTTCTTCA